ATGATTGGACAGTATTCCTCCCACTGACACTAATGATATGACACAATTCCTCCCACTGATAACAATGATGGGGCACTATTCCTCCCACTGACACCAATGATAGGACACAATTCCTGCCACTGACACTAATGATATGACACAATTCCTGCCACTGACACCAATAATGGGACACTATTTCTTCCACTGGTACTAATGATGGGGCACTATTCCTCCCACTGACACCAATGATGGGGAACTATTGTTCTCACTGACACCAACGATGGAGCACTATTGCTTCCACTGTTGCCAAGCTTAGGACACTATTTCTCCCACTGACACCAATGATGGGACAGTATTCCTCCCACTGACACCAATGATGATAGGACACAATAGGACACAATTCCTCCCACTGATATCAATGATGGGGCACTGTTCCTCTACTGACACCAATGATAGGACACACAATTCCTCCCACTGACACCAATTATGGGGCACTATTTCTTCTACTGGTACCAATGATGGGGCACTATTCCTCCTACTGACATCAATGATGGGGAACTAGTCTTCTCACTGACACCAATGATGGAGCACTATTGCTTCCACTATCAACAAGCATAGGACACTATTCCTGCCACTGACACCCACAACAGGGTGCCTTTCCTCCCCCTAATACCAAAGAAGCACTGTTTACTCCCAGTGACACCAGGACAATTTCTACTTCCACTGGCCACAGTCCAGCCCCCCCTAAAGTCTGAAGGACAGCAAACTGGCCCTTTGCTTAGAAAGTTTGGAGACCCCAGGTATACAAGTTGAAATAAATACATGCAGGGGGCCTCTGGGGAAGAAGAGGAGTAGAACTGAGTTTAAATAGATTTGGAAGGTTAGTCTATTGATGGAGACACAAGTTCTTCCTTTTCATTCTGCTGTTGCGGAGTTGCAGCAACACAATTTCTTGCAATGATATTCAAAACAACCTTCCTTGTCCTAGAGCTAAATAGCCGTTCTGTATACAGAATAATTCCCCCATAACCTCTATACTGCCATTATCCGCCATAATCTGAACTGTCAGCCACTTAAGTGAAATCTATTTTCAGTGGTTTCATCCATGCGGGTTTTTCATTACACTTCGACTAGTGCTAGCTAGAAAAGACAGATAAAATGGCATTTCAGTATTATCTCATATAAAGAAGTGATTGAACGCCGAGGTCTGTGAATAAACACATCTCCCCTGTAAGTGTCTCTGATATTTTCTACAGAATTTTAGTATAGTGTTCAATACGAGTCCATTATGAAACACTAAGGAGATATACGTTTATTTCACAACTTTCCCTCCAGAAGACTTACCCCCCCCCCCGGCTCCCCTTTCATAACCAGGCCATTATTTGCTATTCGGTGCTGCACTATTTTAACTCAATTGCGCGGTCCTGCAACACTGTATACAGATGCATTTATATCATTTTTTTTTTACACAAATAGAGCTTTTTTTTGGTGGCATTTGATCATCACTGTGGTTTTCTTTTTTTGCACTATGAAAAAAGACCGAAAATTTAAAAAAAAAATTATTTTTTACTTTTTGCTATAATACATATCCAGTGAAAAAAAATACAATTTCTTCATAAATGTAAGCCAAAATGTATTTTGCTATACGTCTTTGGTATAAAAAGAAAAAATCCCTATAAGTGCATATCAATTTTTTGTTGAAAGTTATAGCATCTACAAATGGCGGTATATATATACTGGAATTTTTATTTATTAAACATTTTTTTTAGTAATGGTGGCAAGCAGTGACTTCTAGCGGGACTGAGATATAACGGAGGGCAATCTGACACTAATTGACACTGGAAGGGAACTTTAACTGCCATTGACATCTTTAATTGATCAGTGCTAATAAAAAGTACAATGAACTGTACTAATGACACTGGGAAAATTTGATCATCACTGTGGTTTTCATTTTTTTTGCACTATGAAAAAAGACCGAAAATGTAAAAAAAATTATATTTTTTACTTTTTGCTATAATACATATCCAATAAAAAAAATAAAATTTCTTCATAAATGTAAGCCAAAATGTATTCTGCTATACGTCTTTGGTATAAAAAAAAAATCCCTATAAGTGCATATCAATTGGTTTGTGTGAAAGTTATAGCATCTACAAATGTGGTATATATACTGGAATTTTTATTTATTAAAATTTTTTTATACTAGTAATTGTGGCAAGCAGTGACTTCTAGCGGGACTGCGATAGTACAGGGGGAAATCTGACACTAACTGACACTGGAAGGGAACTGATTAACTGCCATTGACATCTCCAGTGACACTAATACAGTGATCAGTGCTAATAAAAAGCACTGACACTGTACTAATGACACTGGGCAGGAAGTGGTTAACATCTGGGGCAATCAAAGGGTTAACTGTGTTGGGGCGTAATGACACTGTGTGCTGTGTATTGTTTTTCTGGGGGATGTGCTGTTGTTTACACTCTCAGATCTTTCTCCTGTCTGTTGCTCCACTGATCGCTGGGTCCCGGCCATGAATCGCTGGCCGCACCTGGTGATTGACACCTACAGGAGCCAATGACAGCATGGGTAGGATAGCGTGCACACCCTGTACCCGGAAATGCAGAATCATAATATATATATATATATATATATATATATATATATATACACACGTGATTCTGCGAAGAACGGCCGCCCTGTAAATAGCATTGTTTCCAATGGTGGGCCGTTCACATCAATGCAATGCAACTTCAATGCGTGTTTGGGGAAGGGTCCTGTGCTACTTTGATGTGATGCAGTGGGATTTTTTGACCCATAGATTTAAATGGAGATGCATCAAAAACTCAGGTACATGCATTTGTTATGTGATTTTAATGTGTTTTTTATTAGAGGTACTAATATATTGCTGTCACTTTATGCAGTGCTTTACAGATACATTGTATATTCACATCAGTCTCAAGGGGTGTACAATCTAAGGTCCCTAACTCACATTCATACATACACATACTAGGGCCAACTTAGACAGGATCCAATTAACCTACCAGCAGGTCTTTTGGAGTGTGGGAGGAAACCCACGCAGGCACAGGAAGAACATGCAAACTCCAGGCAGGTGGTGCTGTGGTTGGATTTGAAATAATGACCCTAGTACTGCCAGGTGGAAGTGCTAACCATTTAGCCACTGTGCTGCCCAATGTTTCTCTGTTCCAGGAAGCAGTAGTAGTAATGAAGGAAGTTGCAGTATAGGCATAGTGGTCCCATAAAATCACGTCCAAAAATGGACAGCAGTAAAATCGCATCAAAATTGCAATCCACCCGCACTGCATATTCACACCCCAAATCGCTTTCATAACTCTTAGCCCTTTTGTAGGATAGGCATTAAGCAGAAAAAATAAATGTTGAGGGGTGAAGGCCAAAGTGGGGTTGAGCAGCCCTACAGAGGAGTTCCAGCCTAACAGTAATTAGCCCCCCGCTATCTATCCTGTCTAACCTGTTTAAAAAAATATATGTGTACTTACCATTTTTTAGTTCCTCCAGTCTGGTCACGTGATCCCACAGCTCTGGCTCATGTTTAGTACAGTTGGGTGGTTGTTTATCTAAGAGAGCTTTCCAAAGGTTCATCACAAGGGACTGGTGGAGGATAATAATACTTACTGGGGAGGTCCATCAAATGGGGCATGTGCCAACGATGTGTACTTATGTGTACTTACCATTTTTCAGTTCCTTCAGTCTGGTCACGTGGTCCCACAGCTCTGGCTCATGTTTACTACAGTTGGGTGGTTGTTTATCTAAGAGAGCTTACCAAGGGTTCATCACAAGGGACTGGTGGAGGATAATAATACTTACTGGGGAGGTCCATCAAATGGGGCATGTGCCAACGATGTGTACTTATGTACCATTTTTCAGTTCCTCCAGTCTGGTCACGTGGTCCCACAGCTCTGGCTATGTTTACTACTGCTAAGAGAGCTTACCAAGGGTTCATCACAAGGGACTGGTGGAGGATAATAATACTTACTGGAGAGGTTCATCAAATGGCAGTATGTGCCATAGTTCAGACTCTATATACTGCTATATTTGCATCGGCATGCATGTGACTGAGCTGGTAGCTCAACCACATAGGTGTCTCCATTGCCTTCCTGCCTTCATTCTAAAGAATTTATCAGCAAACAAACTCACAGGCCATGGTGAGCATGTAGCAAACATGCTAACAGTCCCTGTTGTGTAATTCATTTTTATCTGACTACGGCTTTAGTTGCTCCGTAACATTTATTACAAAGTGGTAATGTTTAAATAATGAATGAGCCACTCAACAAAAAAAACAATTATGCCTTGACGAGCTTGCACAAGAACAAAAAAAAACAAAACCAAAAAAAAAAAGGTGATTGGCTTATCTGGGTTACCTAGCTGGTTTAACTTTTTACTATTTATTCCCCAAAACTGAGCCTCACAGCCACCCCTCCCCTACCTCTGTGGATGAAAGGATATTTACATATATTTCAGGTACTTACATAGCGCCATCAATTTACGCAGCACTTTATTTGTTTTTTATTTTTTTTTAGAGCAGATTGAATTTTTTTTTAAATGTGGATGACATTCATTTATAGCAAAAAATCTGAGCAAAAACACGTCTGTCTGTCTACATGAGCAGCAAGGATGCAAACTGGAGAGGGGGGGGGGGTTACAAAACGAAAAACCATTTCATCCACTATGGCCATTTCACAGAGTCTGGATATGGACACATGAGACAAGTGGATCCTCCATTGCTGCATTCTTCATTTCAGTGTGATGGACTTGAGCTGGAGGCCGTAGCGGACTGACAACTCATGGGGCCCCCGGGCAATAGGGGATCATGGGGCCCCTGTGTCCTTGCCCAAACTCAAAAAAGCCTATGAAAAAGGTACCAGGGGCATCTCATGGGGCCCCCTACTGACCCCGGGCCCTCGGGCAGTGCCCGAGTTTCCAAATGGTCAGTCCACCCCTGACTGGAGGTTTCTTATGATCAAGTATGAGATCTCCTGTATGGTAAATCAGTCTGGAAATGAGAAAGGATTTCCGGTAGGTAACTGTATGGTGATCTTGTCTAGCGCAAACTGGAAGCAAACCATGATGTCTGATCCCTCCATGAAGGGGAAGAAACTTTCCCTCTGCTCTTCTCCAACATTGTTCACCTTCGAGTTCAAGATTAACTTGTGCTTGACTCCGTTAAGGTCAAATCGAGGATTAAAGTGTAGCACAAAATTCTCCTCATCTGTTCCCAAGTTTATGGCAAAATCTGTACAGTCCTCTGGAATGAAGCCCTCCACCACCATGGAGCGACCAGGTTTGAGGCCGAGGTTATAAAAGGAAAAAGTATTATCTGCCATCTTGCTTTCTTATCAGAGACACTTGTTACGCAGTACTTTATATACATTATACAGTTATAGCAAAAAATACTGGCACCCCTTAATTTCTGTCAGATACAGGGGCAGACTGACAACTCATGGGGCCCCCGGGCAATAGGGGATCATGGGGCCCCTGTGTCCTTGCCCAAACTCAAAAAAGCCTATGAAAAAGGTACCAGGGGCATCTCATGGGGCCCCCTACTTACCCCGGGCCCTCGGACAGTTTCCAAATGGTCAGTCCGCCCCTGGTCAGATAACATACCACTTCACCCAGAAAAGTTCTGCAATTACAAATGTTTAGGCATTATCATATTTCTTTCTTTTGTTTGTAGTGGTATGACACAAAAAAGTGGAAAAACAAAAAGCCAAATCTGGCACATTCCACGCACAACGCCCAAAAATGGACTGGACAAAATTATTGGCACCTTCTCAGTTTGTGATGCTCCTGTAATTTGTAATTAAACTCATCTGTATCAATTAACAGGTGCTGACAATATAGAAATCACACCGGCAACCAGTTAAAATGGTGAAAAAATTACTCAACCTTTCTGTTGTGTGTCTCTGTGTGCCACATGGAGAAGAGAAAGAGCAGCAAAGAATTGTCAGTGGATTTGAGAACAAAAATTGTGCAAAAGCATGGACAATCTCAAGGTCACAAGTCCATCTCCAGAGATCTTAATGCTCCTGTGTCCACCATGCGCAACATTGTCAAGATGTTTACAGCCCATGGCACTGTAACTAATCTGCCTGGACGTGGACAAAAGAGAAAAATTGATCAAAGATTGCAATGAAAAGGGACACTATGGTAGGAAACCCAGGAGGAACTCACTGCTGTCACAGAAACATAAAAAATCCAGATTGGAGTTTGCCCAAACTTACCTGAGGAAATGGGGAACAGACAAAACAAAATTACAGCTTTTCGATAAAGCCCATCATTCTACTGTTTTCAGAAAAATCAATGACGCCTTTTAAAGAAAAGAATACAGTCCTACAGTCAAACGTGGTGGGGGGGGTCACTGATATTTTGGGGGTTGTTTTGCTTCTTCAGGCACTAGATGTCTTGAATGTGTGCATGGCATTATGAAATCTGAAGACTACCAAAGAATTCTGGGGTGCAATGTAGGGCCCAGTGTCAGAAAGTTGGGTCTCTGTCAGAGGTCATGGGTCGTGCAGGACAATGACCCAAAGCACACATCAAAAAGCACCCAGAAATGGTTTCAGACAAAGCGCTGGAGAGTACTGAACTGGCCAGCAATGGGTCCAGACCTCAATCCCATAGAGCACATGTGGAGAGATCTCCAAACAGCAGTTGGGAAAAGGAACCATTCCAATCTGAGAGCAGTTGGCAAAAGAAGAGTGCTCCAAAATTCCAGAAGAGAGGTATAAGGGACTTATTGATGGTTACAGGAAGCCATTGATTTTAGTTATTTTTTCCAAGAGGTGTGCACCAGATATTAAACTGAGGGTGCCAATAATTTTGTCCAGTCCATTTTGGGGGGCTTTGCATGGAATGCATCAGATTTGACTTTTTTTTTCTCCATTGTTTTGTGTCATACCAATACAAACAAAAGAAATAAACATGAGAATGCCTGAACATTTGTAATTGCAACAATTTTCTGGGCAAAAAGGTGCATTATCTGACAGAAATTCGGGGGTGCCAATATTTTTGTCCATGACAGTATAAAATTTGATTGGGCTCCCTCCCTGCAGCCAGTCCGACAAGATACCTAGGAAGGAGAGAGCTGACTCATAATGGGTGCTTGTCAGTTTCCCTAAACAAATGGCAGCAAGAGGAAAGCAGAGGGAGAGCGGGTGTGCCGATCAGGGCCATGGATAAGGGGGTACCACAAGTCCTCCTGTATGGGGCCCAGACCAGCAGGGGGGCCCAGGTAGCTGGGTAAATAGGATGTGGACAGGGAGGGTGATGGGTGTGGCAGGGGGGAAATTACTGGAACTGATCCCCTACATGGCTGTCTCTGCAGCATCTGAAAGCTGGTTTCTTCTCCTCTCTTCTCCTCTCCAGGTTCCAGTAAATGCCGATCACCCTCCCTATGCACATCTGATTCACCCAGCTGTCTGGTCCCCCACAGTGCCGACTTACCTCTGTGAGATGGGGAAACAGCTCTCATGGTTTGAACACTGATTGTGTGGAAGTAAATTAATGTTTTGACTGACATTCTGTGGTTTAGCCACAAGATGTCACTGTTTTTCTAACACAGCCTCAGATTGCATAGATATTTGTATATTCAAGAAGAGGTGGAGTTTTCACACAGAGTTGGAGTGAACAGGAAGAGGAGACTGCAGCCATGTTTTCAACGATGCTGAATGAAGGGGCCGTGTGAGCTGAGAATCCAATGACATCCAGGTGTGGGGGCTTCCCTTGGTAACCAGAGCTGAAGCTAAGTGAAGCTGATCGTGTCCAAGACCCTGATCCTGTTAAGAGAAAGGAAGATTGCTGCTAGTAATGCTGATGAGAGCAGAGGAACAATGCAGCATACACTGCAATATCGCAAGCTTGTTGGAGAGACATTTGTTCTGTTCAGAGTCACCAGCGGATGCAAAGCAGACCCGGGTCGGTAAGATCGTGCACGCACCTCATTTCAGTGTTGGCGCCTTGAGACTGAGTCCAGGCCTATAGTTAGTTAGTTAGGGTCTCTGTTTGTGTCAGGCCACAAGTGTTGTTACCGATTATTGGAAGGACTCCACAACTTAAAGTGACATTTCACATTGGAGAGCTGATAAAATCCTACAAACTCAAGCCAGACTGGCGTTTTGCTCAGAAGGAATACTCAGGCACGTGCTACAGGACCAGTTATGGGAGGGGGAATACTGTAGATTTGTGTAAGATTGTAAGCTGTTGTGCTGCACTGCAGGCTAGCCCATACCATACACCCATACACTGATTCCTGCTCTCTTAGGGTAATAACACGGGTAAGGTGTGGCAGCTTCGTTGTGCCCGCCAGTAAGTAAATTACTACACTTTCTACCTTCATCTATCAGGAGGCGCCGTGCTGTGCAGCAGAAGGGTCTCAGCCTTTGGGCTGGGTGTATGTAAATTTATTGTATGTTTCCAGCATTTGTGGTTGTGTTTATTTGCCACATCTAAGTAAAATTCTGTTGTGGCAAAAGCTGGTGTTGGGGTTGCTTTCCTCGTTCGTGACTTCACTGTATCCTGGGGAGACCACCCCGGTACACCTCTGAAAATAAAATTTTAATGTGTGGAATTTTCTGCCAAATAATTTTAAGTCAATGAAAGCACTTGGGATTGCTTTTCTTACTTTGTTTGGATCATCTTATGCTTGTGAGCAGCTGTTTTCAGCTTTGAATGATATCAAATCTGATACAAGAAACAAACTAACAGATGACTCAATTGCTGCATGTGTTGCTCTCAAATTAATGAAGTATGAGCCACAATTTGACCATGAATACAACAGCAAAGATCACATTAATTGTGCAAAAGCACACCAAATGTAAACTTTTACTTTTCAATAAAAAACTGTTGTTGTATCATTGAAAGCTCTGTTATTTGTGTTTTTCTTTTTTTAACCTCCTTGGCGGTATTCCCGAGTGTAGCTCGGGGTAACATTTCAGTACCAAAACCTCAGCGGTTTTAACCCCGAGCTACACTTTGGGAATACCAAGCGGCGCTGCTCCGGCATGTGTTCTTCACTTAACTGGTGTACCCTGCGTGCTCCCCCACGATGTGTCCCCTGCAGCGTCCCCACCATCTCTCCGGCCGATGCCAGCATCCGGCTTCTGTGTCCTGTCCCCTGTCACGTCGGGACGTACAGGGCGCCGCCGCCGCAGGGTGCGTGGCGGCGGGAAATTTAAAAATTTTTAAAAAATGTCATTTTTTTTTTTTTTCATTTTACCCACAGAAAACGTTGCTGGCCCTCAGGCCACCCTCAATGATACACTGTTTCTGATTGTTTGTCAGTGGACCATTCGTGACACACCAGCGGCCCTGCGGCTACAGGTCATTTTGTAAGGGCATCTGTCCCCTAGTGCTTTGTCCTGCGCCCTGCCTGCATTTTGTCTGTTCTTTCTGCCTGGAAACTGAGAAATGTCCCATGGCGTCCAAAAAGTGTCCCTTTAGGTCAAAAGTCGGTTTAGATCAGCTAGAGAACAGCGATAGTAAATTAGAACCACTTACAGAATTGAGTGATAATGATTCGTGTGGGGAAATTCGTCATCAGAAACTGAAAACGATTTTGCGACTGAGCTCAGCAATGTGCGAACTTGGCGCTCTATTTCACATTTCAGTGTTTTTGGTTTGATTATATTATTGAATTAAATTTTTTATTATTTTTATATTATTTTTATGATTATTTATTAAATTATAATTTATGATTTTGTGTTTCAAATTTTATCATACCCGGGATCTAGACTCTTGTTCGGACAGATTTCAGTGAGTTTTTCCTAAAAATTACAGCCTACAATAAAAAAAAATACATATTTCCATGCAAAAAAATGGTACCGCTTTCAGCACACCAAAAATCTGAAATAATCATACCGCCAGGGAGGTTAAATCAATAGATGTTAATGTACGAGTTGTTTTTTTCTAAACTAAAACCTCAGTATTCAGGTTTAATTGCAGTGTTGGCACTTTGTGATATATAAGTGGGTTTTGGGTCGCAGTTTTGGCACTTGGGCTCCAAAAGGTTCGCCATCACTGGTGTAGCCTGTAGAGGTCTGTGCATCCCTCCATGGATCTGCCTCCCCAGACCATCACTGACCTACCACCAAAACAGTCATGCTGAACCATGTTACAGGCAGCAGAACTTTCTCCATGGCTTCTCCAGACCCTTTCACGTCTGTCACATGTGCTCAGGGTGAACCTGCTCTCATCTGTGAAAAGCACAGGGTGCCAGTGGTGGACCTGCCAATTCTGGTGTTCAATAGAAAATGCCAATCCAACTCTATGGTGC